AGTAAAAATGTTGAAATATATAATCAATTAATAAAAGGAAATGCCACAAGATATGGAATACAAATTATAAGCAATATGTTTTAATAATTACATGGTCAATTTACTATTAAACAGTTACATAAAATGTAAAGTGCATGTATGAACATTTAGGATGACATACCTTTGGCATCACTTTTCTCTAAGTCTTTTAGTGCTTGAACAAACGTCAGTTGATTTTCAGTGAGAGGCCAACTGTTATACAACACCAAACACTGTATAATATACTTGTAGCTCTGTGAAACAAAATGCAGTGTTTAAGAACAAACAATAAGAATAGATACAGTATGTGCCTAATTATAATTTATTATTCTAGGCACATGATAAATGCATAATTTTCTGGATTGTATGATCATAATTTAAATAATCCCAGCTGTTCTCTGAAATTTTGTAACACTACAATTTATAAAAATTTAATATTCTCACATCCCCACCAACATCTTCTACTACCTAACTTTCTAATTTTTGCCAGCGCAGTTGGTATAAAGTGGAATCTCACTGCTGTCGTATTTTGCGTTTCTCAGATAACCGAAGAGTTTCAGTATTTTTTTCAAAGCTGTTGGCCTTTAGGGTTTTCTCTTTTGTGCTCAGGGCACAAAAAATGGTCTCCTACATCATCTATTATTTTATTACTTTTATGAATTAAAATTTTACAATGAAATTTCCAATACATCTGGAATTTGCCTTTATTTATGCTATTAGCTAATGGTCTAGTTTTATTTTTCTCCATGGAAAGGTATTTTTCCCAGCACTATCCACTCAACAGTCCACATTTCCTCTGTTGATTTATGGTGTTGCCTTTAATTCTATATTAAATTTCCATACAAACATGAATATATTCCTATTTTACTTTCTTCCATTGCTTCATTTTCCTATTTTTGCACTAATTAATACTATTTTTACTGCTATGGCTTTTTACTCTCTCAATATTTAGAAACACTAAGATATACTTTGCTCTTCTTTTTCAAAGCTGACTTAACTATTTGTGAACTGTTATTAAGTGAATTTTAGAGTAAGTTTAGAAAATTTCTGATAAATACAGTTTGAATTTTGATTGAGATTGCATTGAATTTAAAAGTAAATTGGGGATAATTGGTGTCTTTATACTATTGTGTCGCCTCTGTGAAAAGCATGAAATACTTTTCTATTTATTCAAGTCATCTAAGTTCTCCAGTTGGTTGGATCATCTTCTATGTCCCTTATTGAAGTGTTAAGTTTTTCTATATAGAGAATTGATGTATTACTGGTTAATTCCTAGATATTTTACAATTTTGTTGCTATTAGGAAAGGTATCCTATTCTAGTGTGTAACATGTAGTGCTGGTGTAAAGAAAGGCTACCAGTTTTTGTGAGTTGTAGAAGCAGCAGTGTAGTGGTTAAGAGTATGGCCTCAGGGGCTGGAGCTGTCCGCTGTTCAAGTACTACTTCAGTACAAAGGAGCTGTTTGGCCTTGAGCAAGTCACTTAAGCTCTCTGTGCTCCTGGTTCCTTGACTGTTAAACAGGGATAGAATATGTACTTCAAAAGTTGCACATATAGTGGTAGCATTCGTCGGGTGTCGGGCAGATGGGAGGGGCAGGAGCGGATGGGTATATATACACCTAATGGGTGCGCTGTGCACCATCTGGGGGATGGACACACTAGAAGCTCTGACTCAGGTGGGGCAAAGGCAATATATGTAACCTAAACATTTGTACCCCCGTAATATGCTCAAATAAAAAAATTTTTTAAAAAAGAGTTGATGGGAGAATTAAAGATCTATGTGTATACACAGTACCAGGTACATAGTAGGTGATGAGTAAGTAAATATGTATTTGCTATTATTAATGTCTGACAATCTTGCTATTATACCATCTGTAAATAACTCAGTGATTATTTCGAATACTCTTTCATTTATTTTGTTTCTTATATTATTGGTCCGACTCTCCATTATCACAATGTTCCAGTATCATTAAATACTATTAATAGCAATGATAGTGGACATTCTTCCTTATTCCAATTTTAATAGAAATACACCTAAATTTTCTACATTAATGTAATGTTTTTGTATATAAGATTTCTCCATTAAGTTTAAGATTTTTGATATGTAACATTTACAGTTGAAAAGTTCTCTCCTACGCTAGTTTGCTAAGAGCACTTTTGAGAATTACATAATAGGTATTGAACTCAATCACATGTTTCAGGGTTATATATTTTCATCTAGTCAAAATTACTGTGGTGACTAATACTGATACATTTTTTTAACAAAAACACTTTTGAATTCCTGATATGAATGCTACCTGATCACTTTATGCACTGGTAGAATTATTATCTATCATGTTCTTTATAATTTTTCATTCATGTTTATAAATGAATTTTATTCCCTTTTTTTGTGTTACTTTTATCTGGTTTTGGAGTCAGGATTACATTAATCTCTTAAAAAGCCTTGGAAAATTTGTATAATTTTTTTGTTTTCTGGAACAATTTGCTCCTTGAAAGTCTATTAGAGCTGGGCCTGTGGAATTTTGGAAAATGAAGACTTAGAAGACTTTGGATTATCATTTCAATTTTATTATTCTTTATTGTTTTATTCAGATTTTCTATTTTCTTGTGAATCGGCTTTGCTATTCCTTCTCTCCTCTGCCCCTGGGAACTTAGGTGGTTCCCCCGCTCCATAGGTTTTGAATTTGTTGGCACAGAGTTGTTTATAACACTCTTAATTTTTTTAAACCTTTTTTTTGATTGTTCTGTATTTGGTTAATTGATATATTTTTCTCCCTCTTTTTCTTGATTGGTCTTACTAGAAATATATCTAATTTATTAATCTTTAAAAGAAGTAGCTTAGAATTTATTAATCTAATTTATTTTTTGCTCCCCAATTCATTGATGTCTGTTCTCTTCTTTATTAAAATCCTTTTTCTTTTATTTTTGAGTTACTTTTTTCCTAACTTTTATTACAATAGCTCAGCTCATTTGTTTTTGATTATTCATGCTTCCTAACAAATTAATCTAAAAGTAGTATTCCATTAAATGCTGTTTTAGATGTGGCTTACAAATTTTTTACTTTTATTGAATCCTATATATTTCATAATTTCTTTCTTTCTTTTTAGCTAAAGGATTATTTAGTATACTTTCAGTTTTCACATTTATTGGATTTGAAACTACCTGTTAATTATTCATTTTTAGTTTATTGCATTATGTTCAGATAACATATCTATATAATATAGATAGTATGGATTTTATTGAGGCTCCCATTTATTGCCTATTCCAGGATATTTTTAAAAAAATATTATGTATGTGCTAAGAAAACATCTATTCTTCGTTTATTAGGTAAAGTGCTTTATATAGACATCTAAGCTATTAAGCTTATACTTAGATTTTTCAAATCCTCACAATCATATTTATTTTATTTTTCAGCTTGATCTTTCCAGTTTTTGAAAGGAATGTTTTAAAATAGTGGTCCTCAACCTTTTTGGCACTAGTTTCATGGGAGACAACTTTTCCACAGGGTGTGGGGGTGGTGGGAAAGGGAGGGGCAGATGGTTTTGGGATGATTCTAGTGCATTACATTTATTGTGCACTTTATTTCTATTATTATTGCATTGTCACTTGCCACTCACTGATAGGGTTTGATATGACTCTGCAAGCAATTGATTTGTTATGCTCTCTGCACAGTCAAACCTCTCTGCATTAGCAGAGATAATCTGTATTTGAGCCGCTCCCCAGTGCTAGCATCACCACCTCAGCTCCACCTCAGATCATCAGGCATTGGATTGTCATAAGGAGTGAGCAACCTAGATCCCTGGCATGCGCAGTTTACAGTAGGGTTCCCACTCCTATGAGAATCTAATGCCACCCCTGATCTGACAGGAGGCGGAGCTCAGGCTGTGATGCCGGCCATGGAGAGTGGCCATAAATACAGATGAAGCTTCACTGGCTTGCCACTCCTCACCTCCTGCTGTGCCACCCAGTTCCTAACAGCCCACAGACTGGTACTGGTTTGTGGCCCTGGGACTGGGGACCACTGTGTTAAAATATTCAATTGTTAATTGTTGACTTATCTTTTTTTTCCTCCATAGTTCTAATAGTTTTTTTCTTTTTATTTATTGTGTTTGGGTAGTTAGGTGCCTATATGTTAGTTATGCTCATATCTACTTGATTTATCTTCCTTTTATTTGTATATAATATCCTTTATAAATTT